AGAACCTTCCCTGGGAGGTCCCATCACCACGTACAGGAATCCACGTCGAGGGGCAGCCCGAAAGGAAAGAAGTGATCACTCTGCCCAAGACTTGATGGCAAAGAAGGCAGGGGGAAGAAACAGGAGTGCTAGATGCACGAGAAAAGCTGTGGCCAAGAGCATTGGAGATCAAGATGGAAAGGGGATGGGAAGCATACCTCCCAGTAACTTTCCGAATCTTGTCCCATACGGTTTTGGAACTGGTGGTAGAAGAGATGCTAGTAGTAAACTTAACCCAAGACTACTTTTGGCTTTGACGTCGAACCTGCTGAGCAAGGGCACAGGCCCGCTGATAAACAATGCAGTTAAAAAGAGAACGATACCATCGGAATGCATCCCAGGCGTTTTTGAGCCTTCTGTGCCTCCTGGCAGGCAGGAATCCACCATGGACGAGGATACTGTGGAAAATGTGTCAAGGTCTTAGGAATAAAATGAGCAGCTGCCTGGATGATACAGTCAGTCCCTGCAACCACACAGTCGTCTATTGATGGCAGACATACAAAGGCAGGATCAAGTTCAGAGAGAGAGGTGAAAGATGGCCAGTCAGCCTGGTCTAACTTCCACCGTGGCACTCTGGTTGGGTGGCATCGACCAAGGCCAACCTCCCTCATAATGATAGGAAAATGATCACTGCCCCTTGTATCACTGTCGATCATCCAAGACAAGCGAGTGAAAAGTGAAGAGGAGCAGACCGAGAGATCAATGGCTGTAAAAGACTGACTAGGTGCATAAAAATAAGTATAAGATCCAGTATTTAAGAAAGAAAGGTTGTGATCCCAGAGCATACACTCTATGGAACAATCCCTCCCATCAATATCAGCACCACCCCAGAGGGGGTTGTGTCCATTAAAGTCTCCCAAAATTAAAAAGGGAAAGGGCAACTGGTCAACGAGAGTATCAAGGATGGCTATGGCCTTCAAGGGTGTATCGAGGGACACAGATAAGGAGGGCATATGCTGGTCAACCAGCAGTGCCACCCCTCTATGCACTCGTCCATCACCCAACCTGTCATTCCAGTAGAAAGAAACCTGCTGAAAGGTGACTGTATCAGCAGGTTTCAGAAATGTTTCATGTAAGGAGGGACACACGGGATCAAGGCCTTAATGTCATTGAGATTAGAACGAAAACCTCGACAGTTCTACAGTATCAAAGTGGCCATTTTTATGTAGGTGGAGGAGAACAGGGTGGAGAACCCTTCAGTTTATGACCATGCCCTTGATCGAGTGGGCAGGTCTCTGTCATCATACTGGGAATCCAATGACTGAGGATGTTATTGGATGATCATCCTGCATCCAGGGGCCAAAGAAGGACCCGAGTGGACACCGGAGGCCCGTGCCCGAGGAGGTGGACCCAGGCAGTCACTGGATGGAATAGTGGGGACAGAAATTGGAGTAGATATAGATTGGTCAACTCTGTTATCCATGGAGGGCAGAAGATCCCTTACATGATGTGAAAAAGACTTAGATGGAGGCATGGAAAGGTCCATCTGCACCCTCACCATAGCAATGGAGCATAGTGCAGCGGCATATGTCCGAGATATAGTAGGGAACAATAACTTTCGAGCCTCAGTGTAAGAAATGTTGTCGACAGTCTTCAAACGCTGTACCTCTTTCTCCTCCACCAACTTATGGCAAGACCTAAAGTAAGATGGGTGGGAACCACTACAATTAACACAGTGAGGGTCCAGTTTGCACTCGTAGGTGTCGTGTCCTTGCCACCACAATGAGCACAAGTCACAGAACAATGATAAGATGTCTCTGAATGACCGAACCGTTGGCACCGGAAACACCAAAGAGATTTGAGAATATATGGCTGTACATTACAATTCAAATAACCTGCCTTAACAGCAACAGGTGGATGTGGAGGTGAAAACATCAAAATAAGAACAGAGGTCGGCACCATAATACTATCTTGATGAGTGGAGATCCGTTGAACTGCTGAAACTCCTTTGCTGGCTGGAGAGACCAGCAAGGATCTCTGACACGGGGATAGTCTTCAAGTCCCTCTCGACAATAACTCCACATGAGGAATTCAAAGAAGCATGGGGAGTAACCTCAATGAGTATATCCCCAATGGCCTTTGAATTCAAGAGGAGTTCACTGTGCTTTGCTGTGGATGTTTCAACCAAGATGTCTCCAGAATGGAGCTTCTTAACTGACTTTGGAGAGCCACCAAGCCCCTCTAATCCCTTATGTTTAAAAAAGGGAGACATTTGCCCTAAAGATTTATCAGACAGAGAATGTAGGATCAGGAAACGAGGTACAGGAGTACATTGTGGCAAAGATTGCAGTTCTGAGTCTTCAAGGTGTGGTCGTTAACCAATTAGCAGAGTTTTCTTAATTTTTTTTTTTGAATTGGGGGATCCATAATAAAAGATAAAGATTCAGTGCCCACTGACCCCACCCTCCATGGAGTCCTACAAGGGGACGCACTACAATGTCAAACAAGGACGCTGCCACAACATCAGGGTTTCGTGAGCAATATACCCAAACACCAGCATCACACATGATTTCCACAACACCCGTTGAGAACGGCAAATCTAGAAGCCCACATGAAAGTAACCAACTCCCAGCAAACCAAGGACGTAGCACCTTCCGCTGATAACTGTGGACATGAAGCCACAGTAGACAAAGTAAGGTTAAATGCAGTAGGAACAACAGTGGTAGTAATTATAACAATAAACTCAAAATTCATAATAACTATTAGTGGAAGTAGAAAAATCCACACAGGAAGCTTCAAATAAACTCATGAGAAAATTAAAGACACATAATATTAATGTGTACAAATAAAATTCATAGAACTGAAGTGTAGCAAATGTAAAAAAAATTAAGTTCTCGTAAAAAAACAAGAAAGTGATTGAAAATTCATTGAAGTAAAGCTCGAGCAAAAAACAAGTCTTAATGCCATGAATGCCAATCGAGAAGTGAAGTTGAATAGGGGAGTTAACTGTTCTAGGAGTTGGGTTGCACTCCTATTGGTGGAGGGTTTGCATGCTATCACGCAACTGCTGCACAAGAAAGCATGTGGGAGTAGGTGGGAATATCAAGGCTAGTGGCGACTGAAAATTTGCTCATATAGAGAGCAGTACAAGACAAGAAAAGCTATTATGTGAGAGAAGGTAAGATATTGTATCGGAATTACTAGATTCCATGCTTGGCAAAAGTACCAACTGTACTAAAGAAAGCCTCATAAACACAACCTCAACAAGTGAAAGAAAATTACACTAGAGACTGATAAAACACATATACACAATGCCCCAAAGATGCCAAGCTGTTACTGATGCCAAACGAGACCACACTAAATATTAGCACTGAAGAAACTTTGACATTATTTGTGTCTTCATTTTGTAATAGTTGCATTAAATTAATTTGTAAAAATCACAAGCTTTATATACACCAAATCAATGGTTATTTTATAAAATAGTATGAATGATTTGCATTGTTAGGTTACAAAGTACAAGTAGTATTCTTTCTGGTCTGTTACCATATTTTCTGATGTGTATATATATATTGTGTGCCTAACACCCACATGTAATATTAATTCTACCTCATCAAAACATTCCTTATATTATATTAGTAATTCTATGTTACAAGTAATAGATTATACTGTTCTAAAAATTCTATATTAGGAACATCTTATTAGTCAAATTAAATAATAATTTATAAATTAATTCCAAGTTACTATAGTTTATTAATAATTCAAAACAAGCCTGGGCAGCTTACCAATGAACAAAAGTCAAGCCAAATCCCACAAAAAATTGGGAATAAAACAGCCTCTAATACAATCAGATGGAAAACCTTCAGACTGAGATAGCATAATCCTATGCACCAACTTGCAAAAAAAAATCTGAATAACAAAGACACATAATAGAAAATAATAAGAATGAATCCCAGGACCACATATCCACTGAGAGCACTTAGGATTTCTTCAAATGGTGAAAGCATAGAAGCACTAATCTGAAAAATAAAATTACAAAATAAGTGCCAGAAATAATCAACTAGGCCTAACTAAAGTTTCAAGTTTTGTTATGCTTCAGTCTATTATATGATGTCCACAAAATTTAATAACTAACACTAAAACCATTTTCTATTTCATATACAAAATACATTTTAAAATATTCTGAACTCCATTAATATAATATGCAATTTATACTTTTACTTTTCAAGCATAATTACTCATCTATAAACACATAAATTGATAATTTAGGCATTGAAAAATATGAAGATTATAAAATTATACACTAGACACATGAAAAAATTAAGTCATTTAACATATACAACAGCCTGTAAACTATCATCATGTAATTATAAGTTTATGATATGTTTATGTTAAAATCATCATCATATCATTTGCTGTTGTTTTTTGAATAAATGGTTCAATCACTTTCAAATAATTTCAATTTTTATTTCTTTGTTTTCTGAGCTTAAAAAGTCACCTTAATGAAGATATTAATCGTTCATAAAAATATATTTAGTATTTTTTCAAAAATACAATGGAATCTACATGACACTTACAACTTCTTTTAGTTGAAATATAGTAAAGACATAACGTCCAAAGATGACAGGACATAGAGCTGTAAAATAATAAAATATGCACTTATGTATATTTATAAATAATGTTAGTAAGCAATAATTACTAAATATAACAAATATAATCTTTACACACCCAAAATACAATAAAAAACTCATAAACATGTTTTCTAAAGACATTTTTTATTTCTTACTATAATTTTTAAGCAAGTTTTTACTTGTTTTGTACCAACTTTATGTAATTGTTTGTACTTAATAATATTTTATTACAAGAAGAAATAGTTAGCCATCTGTCTTCCTTGCTTATTCCATTTCACAGTTTAGTACGTTTAATATTTTCCATGGTTAGAAAGAGAATTACCAGAACCTCTTAGCCAGCTGGGGTATTTAACACCAGCCTGTTTACTAAATAGTGTCCCTACTCGGTTACTTATATCTATTCCTGTTGTTACGTATTAGAATTTCAAATAGCCTGAAATTGAGTTAAATGATACTTTAAATTTAGTAGGTAAATTGTACTTTGGACTTAGCAGTTAGGTAAAAGCCAATATGTAGTCAGTTTATGATATTTGCCAACAAGATTGATACACACACAGTTTTCTTTTTTTTAATACAAATATATTTTAATATATAAACAATAATACAATTTACAATAACAGTTATCGCATACAATGATTTATATACAAAAATTTTTACAAACTAACAAGCAGTATAAAGTCCTCTTTCTAGTCTGGAACTTCCTTGATATCTTATCGAGGGTTCACAATGAGCGAGTTAATTACAAGTTTATATAGGTACGATTCACATAACAGGGAGCTACCTACCTTTGTCCTTCATTATTCACCAGCCACACATGCCAAGTTTTCCACCATGAAGTTATATAATGCTTTCATAAAAGTACTAATGTCCGATATGACTCCACTGAAGCTAAATGGTTTGTAATGCTCTAAATTTATAAATGTTACTGGTCAAATATCTTAAGTTTCTCGATTAATAAGCGTTATAACAATCCAGTTATGGCTTCTGAAGTTTATAGCACACCAACTATAGCAAACCAATAATAGATACTGTTTTTTGGTGAGTCACATTGGTTATATTTATAGGCATGTGGAGAGTTTCTCGAAAATTCAGATTATGTAACAATACAAAGCTAGATTAACCATTTATGTACATACATATATTGTTGATTCTTACACTTGAGAATCTTCTACAACTTTATAGAATAAGCAGGAGTTTCACAATACATATTTAACAGTATAAGCTGTTTCTAAACATAAATTTAATCTAAACAAACATTGATATTAAAATAAATATATAATAATAAGTCTGTCACACTGTCCATTGCCATTCTCCTACCAGCTTTGAGGTTTTGGATAATACATTAGGAGCTATATTAAAGCCTACACTATGTGAATCATCTGATGAATCTGTTACAAGTAATGGGTCTGCTTCGATGACGAGGAACCCACTTTGAGACTAATAATGGCTGGAGATGGCTGGAATGGGTAATGAAGAAAAACTTTAATATAAGT